AATATTTTTAATTATACCTAGAATTCAAAATACACTCCAAGCCCTCTTCGTGGCTTTCTGCACCTGTTACACATTTTAATATATTTGAAGTATATTTTTTGTGTATGTCAGGTAATAATTCCCCAAAAAAAATCTCAAAATTTTGTGGTTTTCAAATATCCGACAAAATTATGTAAATATACCTCGATGTATCTGAATCGTGAAGTCACGATTTTCTGTATTATATCTTCGGTGAACTTATTCGATTGTAAGAACTACGATTCTTCTCTTTTTTTTTTTGTAGTATATGTTCGGTGTTTTGTTCTTTTTTCTGTCGCGATTAAGAGAAGGTTTGCAATTCAAATATCAAATCTTTTCCATAAAAATAGGGTTAATTTAAATTTGAATTGAAGATCACGATTTTTTTTTTTTTTTTTTTTTTTGGTTGAAATGGCAGAAATCACGCAGGTCATTGTGAACTGAGAACGTTACAAGGTAACTGAATTGATGCAATCTCTTAAATAAAATAGCTGGTTTAGGTATAAATGAAAATACTTTTTCATTAAGGTGAAATTGAAAATACTTTAATATCTAGTAGGAGGGGTAAAAATTTCCCAAAAAAAAAATCTATATATATATATAATTACTGGCTCTTCTGCATTTAATTAAACCTCATAAATTATACCTAGGTGGCATTTTCCCGCCAATTTCCGTTACTTTTCATTTATTTTAATTTTTTATTTTCTTTATTAAAAACAACTCAATTTTCTTGAAAAGTTTATTGTTTTTAAAAATGGCAACCAATTAATTCTGCAATTATAAGAGTTAATGAAAATGTTCCCATATTTTTTTATACATATTAGTTACTCTCAACAATTGTTATTAATCATTTTTTTAGTCGCAATTATTTTTTCTATGCATAGTAAATTAAACGAAATTAACAAAAACAAATAAAAAATTAAATATCAACAAATACAACCAACCAAAAAAAAAAATTAAAATAAAACAAAAAATCAGATGCTCCATCTCCGGTCAATTCATGTAAAAATAACAAAATTAAAGATCAATTAAAATAATTAATTATAATTATCAAATTACAATTCCAAAAGTTGAGATGATTACTGTTTTGAAATTATCT